ATTTTATTAGAAATGCCAATCAAATGTTTGTCTAACATAATAAAAAAATAATGTTACATTTAATATTAAATATTTAGTAAATAATACCATAGAATAAGTACATACAGTATGGACACTGAATTTTTTATGTGTTGTATTTCCAATGTTTAGTGGGCCTGTGTCGTCGTTAAGTCTTTGCTTGTATATACCTAATACATTATATCTATATAATCATACATGTTATCAACGGTTAAAACATAATTCACATTTAATTACACTTTTCATGCAATATATTATTTTTTCAAATCTATAAAAGAACGAATCTATAAATAATGTTATTCTTTTGATATCGATCTTTTTGTTCAATTATTGCTGAAGAAGAATCTGTGTGTTTCGAAATGTCCAATTTTATATGTTATTATTTAATATTCTTCGTTTAATAAATTTATGATATATTGTTTTTTTAATCTTTAATTGGCTCGATTATAGACCGTTCTTTTGTAGATTTATTTTACATAATACGAGCATTTTGAATATTATTTTTTCATATACAAGGTGTCTTAGAAATAAGGTAGGAGTATCATATTGGGGGCGTAGAATGCTTGGTATACTGTGGCCTATCGCGTCTCACTCGGCGGCGGGCCGCTGCCGTTGTCGAGTGTGGGTCGTTCTTCGCATAGCGCGGTTTCATCGAACATTGGCTTAAACGGTTCCTTTTTTAATTCAAAAACTACAGCGAATATCTCAAAATGGTATCAGACTTTTTTGTTCCCCTTGACTCATTCTACGTCCCCAATGCGGCTCCTACCCTATTTCTGAAACACCCTGTATAATTGTTAATTACCATTTTATTATTTAATAAATTATTAATTTTAATTTACTATTATTACTGTTTAATATTATGTGAATATTATCTTTTTATTGCTTGAATACACGTATTCTGGGATCTACTACATCAAAGGTGCCGACTTTCAGTGTCCATACTATATGTATTGATACTGTGGTATTACCAAATAGTAACAGTTTTGTCAGACAGATGCATCTATAATAGTTGGCACTACCAACCGTTACAGAAATATAAAGGGTGCTCATGTTACCTGCAGTGCTCATAATATCCGATGCTAATAATTATATACAATTATATATAAAACATTTTTTCACTGTTATTAACTCTAGTAAGTCATTGTAATTTTAATTTCAATTAATTACAATGCTTCAAAGAAATTTATTGGAAAAATTCGCAAAAAATGACCACTTTAGAAAAAAATTCTAAAATATTAAATTTTTTAATTTAATCCGAGTCTTCAAATTATATTATAAAAAAGTTAAAGCAATGTAAAAAATCGCATAAGGTACGTTGAATCCATGAATGACATACTAAGGTTAATTATGCTGACTTCACAGCTCCTTCTTTCACAATTTTATTTGAAAGAACGATGACAGTCTAGGGCTAAAATTTATCTATGATGAAAACGTATGAAATAATCGGTCAATCTTTATAGATTTGGACGTGCTGAACTCGAAGAAGGAAAATTGCATTTTCACAAAATTTCTCGGAAGAACTTTCAAGAATTTTAAGTTTATAGTATATTTTGTAGAATCTAATCGTTTCATTAAGTCATGTGTCAGTCTGAATTTTATTCTTTTTATTTTATTATTATTTAGCTATAGGCTAATAACTATGAGGACAGTACTCAGCTATGCCATTATGAGCTTTCCTCGAGCTGAGTTCGGATTAATTAATTACAAAGTAGAAAAATTGCATTTTCATAAAGTTCTCCGTTTTGGAGAATTTTAAGCTTTATATTCAAGTTCAGCACGTCCAAATCTATAAAGATTGACTGATTTCGTATGTTTTTATCACAGGCAAATTTTGGCCCTAAACTGCCATCGTTCTTTGAGAAGTGCTTTTTTTATTATTTAATTTATTTTAATTTTCTCATATTTAATTGCAGAAATTGTTTAATTAACAAATATCTATTGCGTGAAACAAAGAAGTAAGAAATACACATCGCCTTAACCCAGTAGCTGTCATCCTCATTTGTGGACCAGCGACTTTTTATCTTTTTTTTATCGTTAATAATAATTTTTATTATTAATTAATTATTTTTATTTTTAATTAACTAATAGTAATTTTTTATATCATCAGTCAAACATAAAAAATGAAAGTGTGACAGTTAATGGGTTAATAATAATAAGAATTCTCCGTTCGCGACGCAAATGTGTTGTAAAGTAATCGACGAGACTATTATATCTCATCGGTGGTAAAGTCGAACGACATGCATTCATCCCCTGGCGAAAATACAGATCTTTATATTGTAAAACGTTCGATGACGATTTTTTAAGAGAGTTATACGTTTCCAAACTTTATAAGAACGCTTACAGAACACCATTGGGTTTTAAACACTTGAGTTTTAAACACTTTCAGAACGCTTATAAAATACAGTATATATTGTTTCATGAAAGTTCTGTAATGCTAAAGTAACGCTTTTCAAAGGATGCTCAGTAAACGCTGATGCATCTTTATGCAGAGAGGTCACTGTCAGACTTTTCCAATGTGGCGAATTATCTCAGTAAACGTTTTGTAAGGCTTTTACGCAAACGGCTTAAAGACGCCCAAAAAACGTTTTCCTCAATTCCATACAAACGCTCATGTAAACGTTAAACAAACATTTATGAAACTTCTCATTTTCGTCAGGGTCGACTTTCGCATTACCACCGAGGTCACTCGCTAGGTCTTCGGCTTCAGTCTTTCGGACGTTAGGTAATACGTTTCGCTTGTGTCGATGTAGTTATATAGTAATAGCAGATGTTGTTATATTAATGCCGCGCATAAAACACGTACACAAAATACAGTATGTGTATTTTCAGTTTTGTATACGTGTTTTACGCGTGGCATTAATGCAATTAGTAATTGTCCCTTAGAGGACACCCTAAGGTGTCGGAAAGAAATTAGGGGGTCTGGCAGTGTCCGGGGAGATTTCGGAGAGCTGTATGTCAATGGGGACGCGTGTGTCGTATAAGGACGGCGCCTGTAGTATAATCCCGGCCGAGCCGACGATTACGGTTACCAGGAAGATCCATAGGAATAATCTGTCGATCACCATTGCGACATACTTCCAATCCTCCTTGATCTACGGTTGAATTCATAAGTGACAATCAAGAATTTAAAGTATTTCATACACGGAAAAAACGTTTGCTTAAGTATCAAAATTGAGGGCCAAATACATATCTAAAAATAATTATGATGCTCAAGCACAATATTAATGTTGTAAAAACATTTTAACATTTTGGTAACCAGTTTAAGTACCCAACATAATTATTTTTAGATCTATATCTGGCCTAATTTAATAAATTTATGTATTTCAACAAAACCGTTTGTTTCATGTATGATTTCTAAAACTGCACGAAGCAGTGAGTTTATGAATAGATAAAGGAAATACATACTGTATTGAATTTTCTCCTATTCTGAAATGTATTTTGATTTTATGACGAAAAAAAAATTATGTAATATTTTTATTTAAAACATACGTTTTTTTTTCATATGATATAAAGAAGGCTATTCAAATATTTTATTATATAATTCGAAATTTAAATTATATTAAAAATATTTATTAAATAATATCTAGCATAAATCTAAAAAATAAATATGAACCTCATAAAGAGAAAATTTCTAGAAAATTTCTTAATTTTGGGATTGTTTTAAACATTCTAATTTTTTTTTAATATCCTATTTATTAAATAAATATCTTATAAAGATCTTTTTTAAATTGTTATGTTATATATGTTAAAATACTGCATTATTATCTAAGTTACGTAAAATTATAATTACTCTATTAGAATCCTCTTCTTTCTTTACATGATCAGCGATATAACGGATGCCTTCTATGGCCCTATATATTTCTGGGCACTGATGCCAACTCTTAAGTGTGCTACAGATTCGGTTGACGCTCTCCCCTGTTAGAAGTTGCGATGTAGTTGCCGCTTGCGGACCGTGGATACGACACGTACTTTCTAAATTTATTTCTTCCAACCCCCTAAGCAGATAGTACAGTCACAAAACGAGATGACCATAAATAAATATACATTCTAAAAATATAAGAAAATAAATCGAAGAAACATACAATATGTTGCGTAAAAATATCCAGCTTAAAAAGTTTTAAAGCAGCTAAAAATATATAATTAGTATTAAGTCTAAAAAACATGAAAATGTAGTGTATTTATCTACCATTTTCGATATTTTTTATACCATTGAATTTTTGTTTACATTTTATACGTTTTTGATATTTAATTTTTTGACATTTATCTTTTTTATTATTTGCAGTACTGATTTGTTACAAAACATCATCAAAGTATGTCAATAAAATGTCTTGTAAAATTAAATTACACGGAAACAAGTTTGTTGAAGTATTTAGAAATTTAATTATATACATAGGGGAAAGTTGCCTATATCGTACCTCTTAATATTTAAAATTGTAACGTTCAAAATTATAACAAAAGCATTGAAGAGATCATAATATTTTATACTCACATTAAAACTCACATTAAACTTTGGTTCATTGGAAATAAAACAAAACGATACTTCTACGAAAATATACATTAAATTATTATTTTAATTAGATTAAAAAAAAGTAGCTTTCGATACGATTAGAAGACCGAGTTAAATTGTACTGGGGTCCTAAATCGTACTTCTAATCTAGCAAACAAGTAGACATTATTTATTGCCATTTTGACATCAAAATAACATCTTTAACGTCAAAATAACGGCAAATAACGTCAACTTGTTCACTGTGAAAATAAACAAAAATTAATTTTAAAACTCATTTATTAATATATTTATTTTTAATTTCAAACTGAGTATAATATTCGCGCATAGCAAAAACAGAGCAACCTTTCGTTTTAAGTGAAAACGCGTTAAATAAATTGATCTAATTTCATTAAAATCGAGAGTGAGGTAGTGGTTCTACATAAACACCGAATAAAATACATGTAGGTACACTGCATTAAGTTGATATGACAGATTTCCCCTTATCTTAACAGTTGTCTAACTTTAATGCTTAATATCTCGCTTCGCAGTGCAATCCCGTATTTTTCGGCCAGGTTTTTTGTACAAAAACGCGTTTTAATTTCATCGAAATCGGATAATTACCACCAAAGCAGTATATTAAAACCTTATTGTTTGGAGACTTTACATTCTTCAGAGTTTTTGCGTTATAGGTCTTTTAATGATTCTTTGCATCCGATGCTAATCAAACGTAACTTAACAATGTGTATAAGTCACGAATAGATTATGGGAGCTTGCTTGCGAAAATCGTATCGTTACAATATAAAAACCAGCGACAAGTACGATTTACGACTTAACTCTTTCTATTTTTACAAATTTGCCAATAGCAACATAACTTACAAATATTTTGCTAATTTGATGCTATACTCAAATAGATATATATTCAAAAAGAGTTTAAATATCACTTACAACTCTGTAGTACACTATAATTCAATTACCTCACCTTGTACTGATAACACCTTAGGTAAATTGTACAGAAACTTAGATCATCGAACAAAATCAATTTTGAATGCATTCGTAAACAGACGGCTTAAAGATAAAACAAAAATGACAGTTCTTAAAACCATGTTATTAGGGTCATCATCTTTAAAAAAGAATGTTTTGTTTAGAAAATACAATGGAGGTACGATTTAACCGTCGGTACGACTTAGTCAACTCTATTCTACATCTATATATATATATA